GCCGCCGCTCCTCAGACGTCACATGATGTTTGGTCACGTGGGCTCCATTCATGAAGCGGCGACGCGGCCGGCCTCAGCTTAAAGGGGAAGGCACGGCGGCGGCGAGTCGACGGGCGGGCGTGCTTCACTGCGCCTGCGCGTCCGGGCGCCGTCGCCCCTAGCAACACGCGCCGCGCTCCCGACCCCTCTCCCCCGTGGGCTCTCGCGGGACCAGGCCCGGGCGCGCGCCCGGCCGACCACGCCCCCGCCGCGGTGCCGCCCAGGGGAGCCGGAGTCAGCAGGGCGCCGGGCTGGAACCGTGTGGAAGGTGGGGCGCCAGTCTCAACTTGTGGGCGTAGCCCAGAGGGGCCGTGCCTCCAGATGTAGGCGCGGACCTAGGCTCCAGGTCTGACGGAGAGGACCTTCGGGGTTCAAGTTCTTGCACCGTTATGCCATTGGTTACCCCACGTAGCCGCTAGGCCTCCTTCGTCCCAGATCGCGCAGCAGATAGGAGGGCGCGCGCTCTACAGGGGCAGAGCGGAAACCCCAGCCTACGTCCCGGGAACTGTGCAGTGTGCACAAGGCCTCGAGAACATTCCCAGTGGCCCTGATTCCCAAGACTCCACGCTACAGATGACGCCTGGGGAGGGGCTCCCAAGCGGTGTCTTGTCGCATAGTAAGTGTGCAGTTAAACAAAGAGTTGATGCGATCCAGGTGTGGCACATGCCTGTACTCCCAGCTACTCTGGAGGCTGAGGCAGGAGTTCAAAACCACCCTGGGAGGCTTCACAAGACTCCCCCTAAAAAATAAAAGGAAAAGAGTTAATGTCGTCAGTTGCACTTTTTCTCTCCCATTTCTTTGGCGCCTGCACTTTCTGTAAGGAAACACCACTGCTCTTGAAAACTCCCAGCAGAGGAAGTCACAAAGGGCAACTGTGGAAATGGGAGGCAGGCAATTGTTCCTTTCAACCTCTCAACTTTCTACTCAGTTCTCCTCTCTTCTCTGGAGTAAAGCCAAGAAATACGACCCGTCCTGCCAGGTGGGCAAGAAGGTGAAACGACAGAAGAGCGAGCCACTGAATGAAGAGTGAAGGTACCACAGAGGCCAACCCAGGACCCTCTAAAGCTATCCTCCCTGCAGACCTCCAGAACTTTCCACCATCCCTGGGTAGAGCTCCAGGGGTTGTCTTATTGTTTTATTTGGGGTACTAGGGATGAATCCAGGGAAACACAACCACTGAACCACATCCCCAGCCTTTTTAATTTTCTCATTACTTAGGGCCTCATTGAGTTGTGAGGCTGGCTTTGAACTTGGCAATCCTCCTGCCTCAAGTTGCTGGGATTACAGGCACGTGCCACTGACTAGCTGGGTTGGCTCTTATCATCAGGAGCTCCCTAGAGGAGTGGGTTGGGACCTTTATCTTTGACCCCTGCACTGCGCGTGGCTGGAGTCTCACAAAATATAGGGACTTAATTTGCTTGTTGTATGACTCCTAAAACCCTTGATGTGTTCTCTGTTTTCTTTTCCAATGAAATGGCATTTGATTATGTTGCTCAAACCAGCCTTGAACTCCTGGACTCAAGACTACCTGGGATTCCAGGCACCAGGCCCCACCCAGAAAGCCCTCAACTTTTTTTTTGGTACTGAAGATTGAAGCCAGAGTGCTTTATCATTGAGCTACATCCCCAGCCACTTTTATTTTTTATTTTGAGACAGAGTCTTGCAAAATTGCTGAGGGTCTCTGTAAGTTGCCCAGGCTGACCTCAAATTTGCATTCCTCCTGCCTCAGCCTTCCAAGTCACTGGGATTACAGGTGTGCCCCAAGGCACCTAGCCAGGCACTCCACTTCTGTTGTACAAAACCAACAATGGCCAGGCATGCATGCATGTAATCCCAGCAACTTGGGAGGCTGAAGCAAGAAGATCGAAAAAAGAAGGTGAAACGACAGAAGAGCGAGCCACTGAATGAAGAGTGAAGGTACCACAGAGGCCAACCCAGCAACTTAGTGAGGCCTTAAACAACTTAGTGAGACCTTGTCCCAAAACATGAAACTTGAGGGGCTGGGGTTGTGGCTCAGTGGTACAGCACTCACCTAGCACATGCACAGCCTTTAAGCACCACATAAAAGTAATTAAATAAAGGTATTGTGTCCAACTACAACAAAATAAATAAATATTTTTTTAAATAAGAAATTTTAGGGGCTGGGGATGTGGTTCAGTGGTTGAGTGCCCCTGAGTTCAATCCCTGATACCAAAAAAAAAAGGAAAAAAAAAATTTTAAAGGGCTAGGGATGGATTGGAGTTGTAGCTCAGTGGTAGAGCACTTGCCTAGCACGTGTGAGGCACTGGTTTTGATCCTCAGCACCACATAAAAATAAATAAATAAAATAAAGGTATACTGTCCATCTACAACTAAGATGTTTGGAAAAAAAAAAAAAGAGGGGTTGAGTTGTGGCTCAGAGGTGCAGGGCTTGTCTAGCATGTGCGAGGCCCTGGGTTCAATCCTCATCACCACATAAAAATAAAGTAAAGGTATTGTGTCCAACTACAACTAAAATAAAAATATTGAAAAAAAGAAAAAGAAAAGACAGAAAGGCTAGAGATGTGGCTAGGTGGTTAAGCATCCTTGAGTTCAATCCCTGGTACCAAAAACAAAAACAAAGGATGAGGGGAATGGCTCCGTGGCGCCCCCATGAGCCAGCACCCAGGATGAAGATGATAAAGGAAGAGATGCAAAGCCCATGGGTGCAAGCACCTTAGGGGCTGATCTTTGTGGAACCTCTGCTGGGGGCAATGCTCAGGCCTGACTCCCTGGTCAGGCTCTCTCCACACCTCCAGCACCTTGTTTCCCGCCATAGTTGAATACTACCATCTGCAGGAAACTCTCTGACAGCCTCTGGCCCCCACAGCCCCTTCTCAGGCTAGTCTGCACCCTCCATGGGCTGACCTTAGCACTCCACTGCCCCTTCCTGAGAGTAGCAGGCCCCAGCCTGATGGCCACAGGGAGGCTGAGGGTACATGGGACATGGCTGGAATCCATACCCAGACGGGGGTTATTCCTGCTCTCTCTCTTTGTGCAGGTGGACATCCTCCTTCTCTGCCTGCAGGGGTTTCAGACCTAGTTGTTCTGAAGCCTGACCTGCACAGGGACCACAGACAGGGGTTGGCCTAGTACAGGAAAGAACTGTGAGAGGTGAACAGGGCAAAGGCCCCAGCCAAACAGGCTGGTGTCAAGGGCCATTCCAGCTAGGAAACAGGAGAAGCTGGACCAAGCCGAAGGAGCTGGCTCTCCCACTGCATCCTCCAGCTATTGTGCCAAGGGCAGGGTGGCTCACTCCAAGCTGTACCCCAAGACTGGGAGGGATCAGAGCTGCCAGCATCAGGGACCGTGAGGGCCTGGATCTGAGAGAAGGTGTGTCCCTGCCTGGCTTTGCTGGGCTCACCCTCTTGCTGGCTCCAGATAGACATGTCCCCACAGCTTGCCCCACACCCTCTTTCAGGCTTGGTCTGGCTTCAACCCAGTCCCAACCAGGAGCCTCACTGGGAAGCCTCACAAGCCTGCCTGCTGAAATTTGACACCTTCTCTCTATATAATTTTTAATTAATTAATTTTATTTATTGTTTGTTTGTGTGCTGGAGATTGAACCAGGGCTTCATGTGTGCTAGATAAGCACTGCTACGTCCAAGGCCCTTATAATTATTTTTTTCCTTCCTTTTTTTTTTTTTAAATTCGTTTCTTCTTCTTTTTAAGACAAGATCTAAAGATCTAAGTTGCCCAGGCTGACCTTGAACTTGCATCCCTCCCGCCTTAGCCTCCTGAGGTGCTGGATCACAGGTATGCACCACTGTAGAGCTCCGTCCCAGTCATGTTCTGAATAAGCCGGTACCAACACCTCCTTGCAGAGCCTGTCTGGACCCAGGCCCTGCCTTCTTCGGGACTGTGCCTCACCTGAAGCACCTGGCTGGCCTGCTGGCTTCCCTCATGCCCAGACCAGGTGCACTGTGCCAAGCCTTCATCTTTCTGTGGGTCAGTGCCTGACAGGAGGTACCCAAATAGGGACTGACCTTGACCTGGAGGGAACAGTTGAGTCATCGGGCAGACACATGGCCTCTGGGTCAGTCTCTTTGCTCAGGGGAGGACATCAGGGTCTCCTATACTGCCAAGGAGTCTTTTCAGAGAAGGGAATGATTTTGGGTGCCCATGGCTAGGAGGCTGGGAAGTTCACTGCCCAGCCCAGAGCCCACCTACCCACAAGCCTAGGGGTCTGCACTGGGGCCTGGGCTTCAGGAGGGGCCTACAGACATGTCATCCTGGTCCTCCTTGCCCAGCCCTGGCTGTGTCCACAGCTAACCCACCCTCATCTTGGTCCACATCAGTGTGTGGGGAGGACCAGGGCTCTCCACGGCCAAGAGGAAGAGTACGACCTCAGCTCCCCACCCCAAGAGAGGCCCCCACCCGCCTGGCACTTCCCCTCACAAGAACAGTGTCCACTGCTGCTGATCCCAGCAGGGTCCTCCAGTCTGTGAGCCTCCTGTGGGGGTGCACTTTATGTGTGGCCTTGATGGGGCCACATCGTATCCAGATATCTATTCAAACATTGTTCTGGTGTTTTTGCTAAGGCATTTCTGCATGAGATGAACACGTAAATCAGTTGAATTTAACATCAGGTAAGAGCAAAATGTCACTCAATAAGGCAGATTGCCCTTCATGATGTAGGTGGGTCTCATCCAATCAGTTGAAGGCCTAAGTCACAGAAAAGATCCACCCTCTCCCAGGTAAGGGAGAATTTTTCCAACTCACAGTTTCAGATTTTCTCTACCATATTGATTTTTCCTGCCTGCCAGACTTTGAACTAGAACATCTGCTTGTCCTGCCAATGTGTTAGGGTCTCCAACCTGCTAGCCCACCCCCTGCCATTTGAGGGTCTCTCTGTGTGTATCCTATCAGTTCCATTTCTCTAGCAAACTCCAATATACCTTCCTTAAGGGTTTCTCATCAGGAACCTGGCCCTGCTGGCCACAGCTGGATATAAGCCTCTGTCAGTGCCAGCTTCTAGGCAAGTCTGGAATGGATGAGGCCCAGAAGCTCCCAGCCCTCTGTTTCTGGGGGCCTCAGCCTGGCTGCCCTGGGACTGCAGGGCTTGGGCCACGAGCTGCTGGCTGGGCCCTCAGCGTTACACTCGGGTGCAGAGGCCTCCTTCACAAGTGGCATTTAGAAGTCAGGGCACCAAGAGCTTTCAGAAACCGCTTTATTCAACCTAAAGGGTCGGGAGGGAAGTGAGCACCCCACCAGGCAGATCAGGAGTGTGATGGCCTGAGTGTGCTGGTGGTCACGGGAAGTTCAGCAGCTACCCGAGGAGTCCTCTTCCCAAATATTCGACAGGATCAAGGAAGCTGGGCAGCTGGCCAAGACAACTTGGGTCCCTGGCACCAAGCTCAAGACGCCCGTGATCCTCTGCCAGCACACAGGAGGGAGGGTGAGTGGGGAGTGGAAAAGGGCCCTTGGGTCTTTTTGTGTTGGGTGCCAGGAACAGAACCAGGGCCTTGCCATGTCAGGTGCTCCACCTTTGCAAAAAGAAGGGGCAAGCCCACACCAGCTGACACTGGGGTTGAGGAGGGTGAAGACCTCAGGCTGGAGCTATATAAAAAGCTCGGGGTGTGAGGAGGTCAAAGAGCCCATCCCTGTTATGGGCTGAAGCCTGGGAACCATGGAGGCTCCCAGTGAAAGGTGATATGCCCTTCCCTGGCCACAACCCTGGCTGACCCAGACTGTGGGCAGATGCCCACTGAAGGGTTGGAGACCCCCCAGAACAAGAGCCTGGAGCCAGGAGAGCAAGAAGTGGAGAGAAAGGCTGGGCACGGTCGTATGCACGTGCAGTCTGAGCACTTGGAGGCTCAGGTGGGAGGATCTATTGAATCCCATGACTCCAGGCCCAGGGTGGGCAAAACAACAAGAGGAGGGGGGGAGGGGGGGAGAGCAGGTGGAGGCAGGGTGCATCATTCCTTGCCTGCCGAGGCCAGGTTGCGGGCCAGTGGCTTGGCAGGGCCAGAGGACAGAGAGGCCCCTGCGGGGGAGTCCAGCTTCACCTTGTCCAGAACAGTTTTCTTGATGGCAGCAGGTGAGACCTTCTCCTGGTCGGCCATGGTCTGCAGTTCCCTGGACAGGTAGCAAGGGTTGGGCTCAGGCCTCTGCCTCCTTCTGGAGGCCATAGCTCCTAGGGTCTGCCCACCTCAGTGGTGCTGTGCCATACGACCTGCCTTCTCTACAAAGCTGCAGGGCTCCCACTAACCCCATTCAAGGTGGCTCAGGGTCACACATCTCTCTGTGGCATGCCTCAGTCCCTGAGCTCTCGCTGCCTGACTGCAGGACTAGCCTCCTGCCACTCCTGTCTCCCCTGCAGTGCAGCCCTGCGTGAGGCTTGCTGTCGGGCAGTGCCACTCAGTAGTCTGGGAGTCTGCACTAGCCAGTGGGCACTGTGGCCAGAAAGGTGCTGCCGACCACCCTATAGACCTGGCTCCGCTTTGGACCAGCCGCAGAATCCCAGCAGTTTTCTTTCAACTCTCACCAAGCTTTCCTTGGGCCAGGACAGGACACTTATCTAACTCCCTTAATCCCCAGCCAGGGCAGGAGGGTGTTGAAGCCGGACCCCAGGGTTGTCTGACGTGCCAGGCTGCCCTTCCAACCCAGGCCTCTGGCCATGTTGATGAAACTGCACAGGGACGGCAGTGCAGGCCTGGAGAAGCTTTCTTCACATGTAGAAGCCCACAGGACTGTGGAAGGGGGTGAGGGGCACTTCAGACCGACTCCAGGAAGCTCGGGGTTCCTTGTGCCCTGCCCAAGTCTAGGCCACAGCTCAATAAATAATCTGCCCTGAGCTGCCCCTTTAAGGCCAAGGCTCTAGTGTGCTGGAATGGACGGCAGGACGGGGCAGTAGAGGTGCTCACCGTGTGCGGATGCAGGAGGCCTCCACAGCATTGATGAGCAGGGAGCGGAAGCCCCCACTCTCCAACACGTGCAGGGCGTGGATGGTGGCCCCTCCGGGAGAGCAGACGTTGTCTTTGAGCTGGCCTGGGTGCTCTTCCGAGTCCAGTAGCATCCTGGCGGCTCCCTGCAGCCAGAGAGGTACTCATGGGGATGGGCCATCGCCCTGCCTCTGCAAGCACCGTCCCCAGCCACTCTAGCACAGTAATAGCCAACTCCCCACCCATCTGCCCCTGTGGACGGTGTCAGTGCTGGCAAGGAACCACCCTCACCAGAGGATCAGGAAACACTGACCAGCAGGGCCTGGGCCCCAAGGCGGACTGCCAGGCGCCTTGGAAGTCCCATTTTAACACCGCCATCAGCCAGGGCATCCAGGGCAGTGAATGCCTGCAAGGAGAAGGCACCCTAAGCCACTGTCCTGGCCTCTCTTCCTCTCTCTCTGTGGCCCAGAGCTCAGTGCCAGAGAGCACCAGTTCCCACAGCCATGAAGTTCCCACCCAGCCCTCCAAGGGAAGCAGGAACAGAGGGTACCCCAGAACCCTAGGAACTTCCAACTCCCCCCAGTCACCACCCACTACTACCAGCCCTCACATAGGCAGGGCCACTGCCACTGAGCCCCGTGACAGCATCAATCAGGTCCTCCTCCACCTCTGTGCAGAAGCCCACGCTGCCTAGGAGCTGTTCCAGGAGCCTGCCATCCTCCACTTGGGCATGGGTGCCCGTGGCATATACAGTAACCCCCTCTCGCACCACAACTGGGGTGTTGGTCATGCACCGAATAACCTTGGGCGCTGGTCGAAATGCTGTCAGTTTCTGGAGAAGAAACGGGGTGTGTCACCCTGGCCTTGGCCACCCATCCTCACCCCAGGTAGGCATAAGTATGGACATGCTGCCCTAGTGGAACATTTCCTGACCACTCACAGATGGAGAGCCCAGGCACGGAGCTCCTGTGTGCACTCCACGTCCGCACCCCCACCCCAGCAGGCCCCGTGAGCCCAGCCCACAGCACCCACCTTCTCAATGGAGCTAATGGTAACACCAGCCGCACAGGACACCACAATGTGCCTGTCCTCGATGTCAGCGCCAATCTCATCCAGGATGAAGGGGATGATATGCGGCTTCACGGCCAGGAAGAGCACGTCACTGTGCCGCACAGTCTCCTTGTTGTGGGGTGTCAGGTTCACCCCTATCTTCTGCAGAAACGTAAGGCAACTCAGACTGCCCCAGAAGTTGTCCTCCCCTCTCTTCACCCAGGGGCTGCTGGGCCAGTTACAGGCTGAGCTGAGGGCCCACAGCACAGAGCCTGGAACACCCTCAGCTGCCTTCCCACCCAGAAATGTAGGAAGCACTCTGTTCTTCAACGAGTCCCCTTCGCAGACAGAAAAGGGACAATACATCCAAGCCACAACCCCATCCCCCTCCCCCATCTCAGGATGCAGCCTCCAGAGATGCCTGCTCTTCAGGTGTGGGTAACAGTCTCAAGTTGAAAGCTTGCCTACCCTTAGATCTGCAATCCTGACTCAGAGGTGACAAACTGAAGCTGTATTCAGCCCCAGGTGTGTCTTGTCTGGCCTTCTGTTATGGCCCCATCTGCCTGACTCCCAGAGGCTCCCGGTGAGCACTGCTCCCACCAGCCATGCATACCACCAGCAATGGAAGCCATAGGCAGGGCCAGGAGGCAGGACCTGGAGACACACCAGCCCAGGCACAGCCACTGCCAGGGCTGCCCAACACCCAGCCCCAGACACTGACTCTCTAGGAACCCAGCCTTCCTGCCTACCCTCTGCCCAGTACCTACCCTCAGGGCAGAAACTGTGGCCAGGTCCATGTCTGGGGAACTGGCCATTATCTTGTGGGCAGCCAGGATACCTGGGGTGGGCAAGACAAGTTTTCCTCCCTCAAGGCCAATTCCGGCCTCTCTCTCTCCCACCTCTGGGGGAAACAAGCTGCAGAGAAATCCCACCCTCAGGATAAAAGAGGAACCCCAAACATATGGAAGCTTCCAATCCCTTAGGACTCAAGCCATGTAACTCAGACCCCCACTTCAGCCCCAGCCCTACCCAGGGTAAGGGGGCCCAACCTCATCCACTTGGTCCCTTCTTGACCCCAGAGTCTACCTGCTGATGTGAAGCCCTTGGCTAGTGCGAAGGCCAGCTGGCCAGCCCCGATGAAGCCCACGCTCATGCTGCCTGGAAGCCCGAAGCCCTCACAGCTGGTTTCGGCTCTGCAGGGCGGGATGGAGAGCTGGAAGTTAGGTGGTCAGCACCAGGGCTGGCCACTCCTCAGGCGGCCAGGCGCCCCCTCACCTCCTAACCCAGCCAGCCTAGCCGGATGTTGCCCCTCCGTCCCGCTCGGTAACTGTCCCAGCTCCCCCCGCCCATAACAACGCAGTCCCCGGCCCGCTGTCGAGGGTCACGGGCTCTCTGGACGAGCCAGGGAGCCGCCGGGAATGAGAGAGGACCGGGAGAGGACCCAGCGCCAGGAGGCCCTCCGCGTCCGAGCCCCCGCCTGCCCGCCCCGAGCAGCAGAACGCCCGCGGCGCCCCCGCCCACCTAAACCCGCGCAGGTAGTCCCGCCGCAGCGCCGCGCCCGCCACGCGGCACCCGCGCCCCGGCCCCGCCCCCTCTGCCCCGGCCAATCCTCGGTGCAGCCGCCGCGCGCCGGCCAATCGGGAGCGGCGACCGGAGCCTGGGGTGTTGCATCATTCCGGAGGCCGGCCGGTCGGCCCCGCCCCACTCGGGCGGCCGCGGGTGGGAGGCGCTAGCGCTTCCAGACAGCGGCCCGGAGACCCCTCCGGGTGGGTGTCTCCTCGGTAGAGCTTCCTCGCAGACCACCTTTGGAAGCTGGCCACTCTGTGGTCACAGGCCTCTACACACACTCCGAACAGGTGGTGTTCCACTCGTAAACTGGGGAGGACGATCCTGTAGTGCCCCAGCTCCCCAAGTTCCTGGAACTTTTAGGCCCTGGGTTTTAGGGAGAACAGGACTGTAGTCATCCTTCCCGCGCCCCAGGGCATGCCCAGGACCTATTTCCCTGTGTTGGGGCTGCAGGGTAGTCTAGGACCATGGCATAGTAGAAGTGATCACCACGACAACCCATCCCCCCACGAGGGCAGAGGTGTCCTGAATCATTTTTTTCTGTTCTGTGTCTTAAATGAGGACCAGCTGTGGGCCAGGTGCAGTGGCAACGCCTGTAATCCCAGTGGCTCTGGAGGCTGAGGCAGGAGGATCACCAGAGTTCAAAGGTTTAAAGCCAGCCTCAGCAACATGGTGAGGCCCTGTGCAATTTAGTGAGATTCTGTCTCTAAATAGAATATTTGAAAAAGGGCTGGGGATATGGCTCAGTGGTCAAGCACCTCTGGGTTCCATTCCGGATTACCAAACCCTCCCCCCCCCAAAAAAAAGGGTGAGGACCAGCTGCTTCAGAAATAACCTGAGAATGATCAAGATGTTTCCTCCTCCAGGCCTGGCTGCAAACTCTGTCCTGTCCACCTGGTTTCCTTCTCCTTGACATCTAACTGTCACCACCAACACCAGGGCCCTGTTGGGTAGGGAGGAGTTTGGTCTTTGCACTCCAAGGGAGGGCCTGGGGTCGTGGTGGGTTTCCACAGTGCAGCTCAGACCCATGGCAGGAAGCCAGGCCTGCTTCACACTCTCAGCACAGAGCTCCCTGTGTAAGGTCACTGTTCTCCAAGTGGTGACCACACGTCTTACTCTTTCCTAAAACAGAGCAAAGACCATCCTCTGGTCCAGGGAGTAACCATGGCAGGACCAGCCTGGAGAGGAGCCTCCCAAAGCCTTCTCCCAGGCCCCTCCTCGGCCTTACCTCAGAGGAGTGGGGTGGGCGCGGGGGCAGAAAGCCACAGGGCAGTGAGGGGGGGCCTTGGTGACAGGTACTTTGTTTCAAAGGAAAGAAGAAAGCAGGGTCCCTCCTGGATCATGTCCAGCCCTGCCCTGAGAGTCAGGATGGACGTGGCCCACCTGCTCCTTTGTTACCTGGTGACATGGCCTCCTGACCCCAGCCTTCTCAGCCCCCAGACCCAGCAGCTGTCTGCCTGCCCTTGGGGATCTGCCCTAGGCACCCACCCCCTCCAAGTAGAAGACATGGGTCCAGACACAGCTTGTTGACTGACTCCGGGTGCCCTCTCCAGTCAGCCAGCCAAGGCCACGTGGCTTACGTGGTACCACAGGACTGTCGGGGCCTGCCTCGGGGCTGCTCAGAAGCTGTCAGCAAGGGCTGACCAGAAAGGGCAGCAGCCCCTCTGCCCATGCCCCAAGTCTCGGAGACTCCCAGGTGGAGGTGTGGGATGAGTGCCCAGGCCTCTAGGAAGGAGGAGGCTGAGCTGACCCTCCTTCCCCCACTGGCCCATCTGAGGCCTCCTGGACGGTCACCCACCAAGGAGGAGAGCACTGCCTGTCCCTTTCATGGAGCCCAGTTCCTCGGGAGATGAGGCCCAGCCTTCCCTGCACTCCAGAGCCCAGGGTGCTCCTAGGGCCACGTCTTCCTTCAGCCAGGCCCCAGTGCAGACCCTCCTCCCAGGGCATGCCGGGAGCCCAGGAGGTGTCACCGGGCACAGCTCCTCAGCAAAGAAGGCTTAGCCACAGCTGGGGTGCAAATGAGTCTCCTTTTATTGACTGCTCAGGGTCCTGGGAACAGCCGTGAGCTGAGGGACTGACAACTGCTGCACACATGCTCCTGCTCTGGTGGCCGGTGGCCTGCCCTGGGCTGGGCTCTTGTGCAGGAGAAGCTAGCTGGAGCGTGGAGGATGTGGGTGCCAGTGGGCCCTGATGGTCAGGAGCAGCAGGCAGCTAGATGCCTGGTGCCCAGGCTCCATGTTCTAGCGACTGCCCCAGGCCGGGCCCTTACCCGTGTCAGGACTGCCCACCAGGCCAGCCTCCCGCAGGAGTCTCTACAGAAGCTGCTGCGTCACAGCCCATGGTGGGCACTGGGCAGGGCCTCCATCACTGGGAACCCAACACCTTGGCACTCTGCTCTGGTGGTGCTGCCAGCTCAGCAGGCCCTTCCAGGCCACCAGCTCCATCTCCAGCCTCTGAGCCCTGGAAGGCAGCCCTGGGTGGCCATAGCACAGTCCTACTTGGCATCCAGTGGCCACCGGGAGGCTCCCCAGAGGCCCGTGAGGCAGGGTCCTGATTCCTGGGCTCCTTCTCTGTGAGCTGGTGCAGTTTCCAGCAGAGCTCCCTCCCCAGGGTTCTGGGCACTGCCCCTTCAAAGGAGGAGGAGGTTCCAGTCGACTCCAGGGGCCTGACTCTGGTGCTCCTGGGCTTGTGTGTGACCCTTCCCACACCTCTGGGAATCGTCCACTTTCTAACATGTCATCCAGCGTGAGTGCCCTGTCCAGACACTGAAGGACGTGCTGGTCCACCTCTGAAGTCCATTTAGCCTGCGTGTCCCCATCTCTAAAATGGGTCACAGCAGCACCTGCTCCAAGGTTTCCCACATTACGGCGGTCAGTATTGGACCCAGGGAGGACTGGGAAATGGAGAGAGAGAGAGAGAAACACAGAGACAGAGAGAGATTAGAAACAGACGGAGACGGGAAGAGATGGGAAGAGAGCTGCCCTGTCTTCCTGCTCAGGGCCTCTGCCCCCACCCTTCCTCGGACCCCATCCAACCCAACCTCAGAGTGGTGCCACAAGTCCAGGAGCGTCCTCTGCCCATGGCGCACGTCTGCTAAGCCCTCCGACTCCCTCCTGCTCGCCCTCACGTCTGTTCACCTGGGTCTCCCACGATGCCTGTAACCCCCAGCCAGAGAGTGGAGGTGGGCCAGGGGCCACTTGCCAGGCTACAGGGTGGGCACGAAGCGGATCCTCTGGGAGTAGGCAAGGTCGACGATGTAGAGGAGCAGATTGACGTAGGTGAAGATGGCTACCACCAGCTGGCTGTCCCAGGGGCAGCTGCCGCGGGGGCAATCGGGGGGCCTCCTGGGCTCCCCGTACTTGGGGTCAAAGCAGAAGACCGGCCAGATCACAGCGGTGCTGAGGTACAGGAGCACAGCCAGGAAAGTGTACACCACCACCACTCGGTCGAAGGGGCAGCCCAGGCCCCCCGTGTGGCCCATCACACTCAGAGCCACCACGGCCACTGTGGCCAGGAAGCACAAGCTATAGACAGCCACACACCACTGGGTGGCCATGTAGCGCCCGTAGCGGCTGTCATGGACCAGTGCCCCAAAGATGATGCAGGCCACAAAGGCCTGGACGATCTTGAGAAGCCCTGACACTGTGGCCATGTAGCTGGCCACCTGGCCAGGCCGGGCCCGTGTCAGGGCCACCTCCGCTGCGTAGGCCAGGAAGAGGAGCCCAGCAAAGACGCTGGCCGCCAGGCGGAAGTCCCTAGCTGCGCAGCCAGCAGGCTCAGGTGGACACTCCAGCCGGGTGAAGTACAGTGGGTAGACGACGGCAGCCGTGGCACACAGCAGCGTGGCCAGCATGGCGAAGGCCGCTGTGAAGTTGCCCCAGGAGAGGCGGAGACAACCATGGAGCTGTGTGAACTCACAGGCCACCACCAGGAGTGACACTGCGAAGCAGAAGCCCCAGGCAGCCATGCAGAAGGTGCCCTGGACGCCCGCAAAGCCGCCCCGGTGGGCAACCAGGCTGAAGGTGGTGCAGCCAAAGGCCAGCTGCAGTACCCGGGCTGTGCCCACTGGGGACGTCACAGCACCCAGGTGCAGGTATGCACCCCCGGGGGGCTCCACGGTGCTTCCCATCTGGCCAGCCACCTCCTGGCTTCACGCAGTGCCCCACGGCCCTGGGGTTCCTGATGGCCTGGGGGCCCTCTGTCCTCTGCAGTAGTGGCAGGTGCCGGCAGCCTGCAGCAGCGGTGACGATGGTGACATTGCAGCAGGGCAGCCTCTCTGCCGCCTGAGTGGTGAGCGCCCCCCTCCCTGCAGCTATAAATAGACAACCTCCATCAGATCCCCGGAATAGCAGCCTCTGTGCCTGTCCATGTCCAGGAGGAGCATCTGACCCCTGCGTCCCACGCAGATTCTCTGCTGGGACGTTAACCCCTGGGCTGCCTGAGCACCTGCATCCTTCAGTCCGGTCAGTGACGGGGACGGGTGGGGAGAGCCAGCTCTGGGGGAGGGGCCCAGGAGGTGGGAGGACCTGGGGGGCTCCCTTCTTGTCACTCACCCACCCCTCCCAGACAGTGCCTCTAGAGTTCTGCTGGGTTTCAGAACCCTGTTGTCCTTGTCCCTGGAGCTCTGGGGAAGGGGAGTGAAGTGTGGAGACCCCAGGCCACTTGTCAAGAGTCCATCCTCCTCGTTCTGGCCCTGGTGGTGTGGGCTGGGGGGTGGGGGTGGGGTTTTTAGTTTTTATCTGGAGGTGGCCTCCGGAAGCCTCTGTCCTTCCGAGGCATGGAAACACCTGGAAAACAGATCTGCACTGTTGCTTTGGTGTTTTGTCTTTGGTGCTGGGGATTGAACCCTCGGGGGCTTTTACCCCTGAGCTACATTCCTAGTGCTATTTATTCAGTCAGTTTTTACTAAGGACTGACCCCAGCCATTTGTTGTATTTCATTTCATCTTGATGCAGGGCGTTGCTGAGTAGCCCAGGCTGACTGGGCATGGCAGTCCTCCTCCCTCAGCCTCCAGAGTCTCTGGGATTACAGGAGCGCTGCCTGTTTTATGTTATTTATTGTTTATTTATTTATTTTGAGACCGGATCTTGCTGTGTTGCCCTCAAACTTCTGGGCTCCAAGTGTTCCTCCTGCCTCAGCCTCTGGAGCAGCTGAGACTACAGGTGGGCACCATTGTACCTGGCTAACTTCCTCTATGCCCAGAAGTACTGAAGATTGAACTCGGGGGCACTTTGCCACTGAGCTACGTCCCCAGCCCTTTTGTATGTTTTATTTAGACACTGGATCTTGCTGGGTTGCTAAGTGCCTTACTAAGTTGTTGAAGCCGGCTTTTTTTTTTCAAAGAGAGTTTCTTTTTTAAAAAATATTTATTTAGTTAGTTAGTTAGTTTTCGGCGGACACAACATCTTTGTTGGTATGTGGTGCTGAGGATCGAACCCAGGCTGTATGCATGCCAGGCCAGCGTGCTACCACTTGAGCCACATCCCCAGCCCTTGAAGCCGGCTTTGAACTCATGATCCTCCTGCCTCAGCCTCCGAATCGCTAAGATCACAGGTGTGCACCACCACACCTTTTTTTTTTTTTTTTTTTTTAGTTGTCAATGGATCTTCCATTTTTATATTTATATGTGATGCTGAGGATGGAACACAGGCAGGGCCTCCTACATGCCAGGCAAGTGCTTTACTACTGAGCCACAACTCCAGCCCTCCATTTTTTTTTAAATTTTAGTTATTTTGTATGTATTTGTTGACGGACCTTTATTTTATGTATTTATATGCGGTGCTGAACCCAGGGCCTCACACATGCTCAGCAGTGCTCCACCACTGAGCCCCAGCCCAGCCCACGCCCTCCATTTTTAAACTGAGTTCTGTGTGTTTGTTTTTTGGTGCTGTGGATTGACTTCAGCACCTTGTACATGCTATGATCACGCACCCTCTCACTGAACTGTAACTCCAACTCCATGCTGAAATTTTAATGCATTATGAAATGTTTCTGAAATGGTAAGCAAATTCTGATTGTAAAGCTAGTAGATGCTCAGACCCAGTCAGTAAAGAAAAGAGAAAGAAGGAAGCATTACCTAAAATTCCACTGCATCAAACCCCTGTTAAAATGTCATGGTGTCGGCCCTGGGGAGGTGGCTCAGTCAAGAGCACTTGCCTGGCATGGGTGAGGCCCTGGGTGCCAATGCCAGTATGTGCATGTGCGCACACACACACACACACACACACACACACACACACACACACACACACACAGAATGTCCAGGGCTGGGTTGTGGCTCGGTGGTAGAGCACTTGACTAGCATGTGTGAGGCACTGGATTCGATCCAAGGCACCACATAAAAATAAACAAATGACATAAAGGTATTGTGTCCGTCTACAACTAAAAAAATACTAAAAAAAGGACCGGGATAGTTCAGTTGGTGGAGTGCTTGCTTCACATGCACAAGGCTCTGGGTTCAATTCCCAGCAACACTCACACGAATGTCCTGGTGTATCTTCATAGATGTCCCCTCAACTTGCAGTCAGAAAAACTTCAGATCTGGGCAAGAGTTGCAAGAGTGTGACCAACACAGTGCCTCCTTCCCCCAGAGTCAAGGATTTTCTTGGTGTGTGTGCGCGCCCAGGAACTGGTCATGGTGTGCCCTGTCTGCACCTCCGTTAGTTAATCAATCAGCTCTAGTTCTAGATGTGACGGTGTGGCCCTAGACACTTCCATCGTGGCTCCTCAGAGCAAGGCCATTTTCCTAGAGAAGCAGACATAGCGATGATGTCCGGATACGCGCCCCCACCTGTCCTTGGAATACAGATCTGACCGGGGGATGCCCTGGGTGGCCATCCGGGCCTCCACCACTCTTCACTCTAGAGCCGTCCTTCTTTGGAAGGACTTTCACAGACTGGCCTTCAGAACGAGTCTGTCTGCCTGTTTCCTCCTGGTTGGGCTCCAGGCTGAAGGCTTGTGGCAGAAAAACCCGGCAGGGGACATCTCATGTGACAGTTCACCCAGAGCCTGTGAAAGTCGGCCGTCTGGTTGGGGCCCCCACTCAGGTGTCCACTTGATCCCCAGCGGCCTTGCCCAGGGGTCTTGGTGTCTGTTGATGCTTCTCAAGGGCAGCGTCCTCTCGGAGCTCACCCTGCTCCCCCGCTCCACGGTGTCCCTGGGGACCCTTCCGCAGGAGTCCCTGCAGTACGCAGAAACACCTCCTGGGACAACAGGTGCGTGCCCTAGCGTCTGGCACCAGCCACTGTTTGTGCGGGGACCACAGAGCTGATCCCCACAGCCCATCTCTTCACCTCAGTTTTGCCAAAGCAGCAGCAAGTGTCCGACCTCAGATCTCTTCACCACATGGGTCCGGTGGTCACTGATGGTCCCAACCTTCTTATTTATTTATTTACCTTTTTGGTTCTGGGGATTGAAATCAGGGGTGCTCGACCACTGAGCCACAGCCACAGCCCTTTTAAAAACATGTTTTTTGGACACAGGGTCTTGCTGAGTTGTTTAAGGCCTCGCTAAGTTGCTGAAGCTGGCTTTGAACTAAGATCCTCCTGCCTCAGCCTCTTAAGCTGCCAGGCAATCTCAACCTTCCTGGTGCCACCACCCCTTAGGTCCAACCCCAGAGCCAGTCCCTCTGCTCCTACCCTGGGCCTCTACTTCTGTCCGCCCACATCTGCCACCCATGACAGCTGGCTGTGGCACCTGAGGCACTGGGCACTGCCAGGGCCTATGGTGTCCCCAGGGGCATCAGGCTGGCCTGCACAAATAGGCAACAGAGGTCTCGACCAAGGAAAGACCATCCTAGGAGCCCTGCGGGGCCTCTCAGAGTGACCAGTGGACTCTGGGTTCTGAGCGAAAGTGACCCTGGGAGCCACCATAGCAGTCCCAGAGTCAGCAGCTGTGACTGCCTGGAGCCCGAGCCGTGGGCGGGCTCCCTGCCATCCCCCTCCAGGCCCACCTCAGCCTGCAGGGACCCGGCCAGGAGAAGGCTGTGTCCTCCACGGGCTGCACTGGGCTAGGGAGGAAGAGGGGATGGGGAGTCCTGGGCTTGTCAGAGGCCAGAAGGCCCCGAGGGCTGGAGTCTGGGGAGGGCGGTGCCACCCGAAGAGGTCTCCTTATCACCCTTCTGCACACGCGGATGCTGAGGCTGTTTAGCCCCGGCTTCCAGCCACTGCCCCACCCTCCTCCCACAGCGGCTCTCCCCAAGACCTTGGGAAGCACCTGGCTTGGTGGACCACCCAGCCTCGTGTCTACCTCAGGGTGTGGCTTTTCCTGACCCACCCCGCCAAGGTGGTGGCTATGCACAAGTGTCCCCTAGGCTGGGTGAGGCTGGGCTCCCTGCTGCCACCCTGTTCCCCCAGCCCTTCTTGCCTGTGGGTGGGGGTCAAGCCTCCATGTTTTCACATAAAGATGAGAAATGAAGTGTCCAGAGGAGCAGAGGACGGGGTGTAGGCACAGCCACCGCCCCAGCCCTGGTTGCTGTCTCCCCTTCTTATTATCAGCTCCTCCTCAGAAGAGAGGCCTTCAGGGGCTGTGTGAGAAGAGATGGGGAACAGAATCTACCTCCTCTTCTAGCCACTGGGCTCCCAACCACCTTCCCAAGGCCTGAGACCCTCATGCAGCACCTAGCTTGGTGGGAGTCCAAGGCAGAAGGATGGCTCTGGCCCTGGAGTTGAGGCCAGCAGGCTCATATAGGGAGATCCCTGTGTGAACAAAAGTGCTGTGTGCGCTGCTGCCGGGACTGTGCCCACCCCAGTGGGGCTTCTGTCTCTAGTGTGGCAGCCCCTGGTCCTCACCCCTTGACCCTGTTACCCACCGACTTGCTCAGCACCCTGGGCTGGGAAGCAGACTGGGCAGCTGATCCAAGGCTGGCCCAGAAAACCCAGAGCAGCTCCAAACACGGGCTGTGTCTCAAATCCCAGACACCAGGGCCCCAGCAGTCAGCCAGCCACCATCTGCCTGGACTCGCAACAGCAGAGGCTCTGAGACTCTGCGTCACCTGCTCCTCAGGGTAAAGTTTCCGCAGCAAGGGAGCTGCAGGCCACCCAGAGGCTCAGCAGTGTGTGGGGTGCCCTGGCCTCAGTGCAGGCTGGCAGGCCCTAGGGTCACATTGCAGACGAGAGAGGACAGGCCTGGGGGGGTCGTGGGAGGAGCCTGCACAGGCACCTGGGTGACACGGTTCACTGTTCCAACAAGAGGCCATGTGGGTAGGTAGGCCTCAGAGACAGGGGGGGCTGGGCGAGCCCCCAGAATGTCCCCTGCAGCTACTTCTAAGAGGGGATACGCTGTCAGGAGCTGCCACACAGGAACCGAGCGCCCCTTGGCCCCGAGAGATGGGAATGTGGATGTGGCGATCCAGCCGTGGGCTGAGTGTGTGGACTCTGGGCACTGGGCGCACAGGGTGGGCTGAACTCATGTGGCCCCTCTGTTTGGGCAGGCCTCGCTCTGCCATGACCCCCGCACGGCTCCTGAGATGGGCACGGCCTTCCTAGACGTCAGTCAACCTGCTGGCAGCGGACGTCAGGAAGCTAGACTCCCCCCCGCCTGACCCCTGCCTCGTTGAATGGCCTCTCCCCCATAAAAGGGTTCAGCACCTTCTCCTCTCTCTGTCTTTCCAGGGACCCTAGGGTCAGAGGAGCCGTCACAGGACCCAAAGAAAAAGGTCTCTCTGTCTCTGTGTGGTTATGGGGTGCAGCCAGTTCAGCTGGAGTGACCCCGAGTGTTCAGTTGTGAAATGAGGCAGTACTCGGCGCCTCTGCTTGTTCTTTGGACTTTAAATTTTTTTTTTCCAAAATAAATAAAATACTTTCTAAACTACTATAAAGAAGACTAGTTTTAAAAATTGTCAACTATAAAAAATTGTCATGCTTTAAAACTTAAAAGCTAATGCATATTCTTGTATGAACAAAAAAAACCTTGCCTTTACAAAATTTGTGCTTTAAAAATTGTTTTTTTGTACTTGTAGATGGACAGAATGCCTTTGTTTTGTTTATTTTTATGCAATGCTGAGGATCAAACCCAGTGCCTCACACACGCTAGGCAAGCGCTCTGCCACTGAACTATAGCCCCAGACCCAAAATTTGCTTTTACAAAAATTTAAGTTTCTTGGGCTGGGGATGTGGCTCAAGCGGTAGTGCGCTCGCCTGGCATGCATGCGGCCCGGGTTCGATCCTCAGCATCACATACAAAGATGTTGTGTCCACTCGCTGAAAACTAAAAAATAAATATTAGAATTATCTCTTTAAAAATTTTTTTCTTGGGGCTGGGGATGTGGCTCAAGCGGTAGCGCGCTCGCCTGGCATGCGTGCGGCCCAGGTTCGATCCTCAGCACCACATACCAACAAAGATGTTGTGTCCGCCGAGAACTAAAAAAAATAATAAATATTAAAAATTCTCTCTCTCTCTCTCTCTCTCTCTCTCTCTCTCTCCCCCCTCTCCCCTCTCTCCCTCTCTCTTTAAAAAAAAAAATTTTTTTTCTTTTTTTCTTCTCATTCTCCTTCTATTTTTCCTTTGTGCCAGGAATTCAACATTCAACCCAGGGCTGCTTTACCACTGAGCCACATCCCCAGTCCATTTTTAAATTTTTGAATCAGGGTGTTGCTAAGTTGCTAGGCTGGACTGAAACTTGTGATCCTCCTGCCTTAGCCTCCTGAGTGGCTGGGAATATAGGCATGTGCCACTATACTCAGAGTTTCTTTTTTTAGAACTATTTTATTTTGTGTCCTGAGGATTGAACCCAAATGCTCTAATGCTGAGCCACATCCCCAGCTGTTTTTATTTTATTTATTATTATTTTTTTAATATATATATATATATATATATATATATTTTTTTTTTTTTTTAGGTGTAGATGGACACAACACAATGCCTGCATTTTTATGTGGTGCTAAGGATCAAACCCGGGTCCTGCCTGCACTCTACCATGAGCCACAATCCCAGCCCTTTTTTAAAATTTTATCTTGAGACAGGATCTTGCTAAGTTGCCCAGGGTGGCCTTGAACTTGTGAACCTCCTGCCTTGGCCTCCCAAGTCTCTGGGATCATACCACCCAGCAATGTATTAATCTTCTCTCTCATTCTAATTAACATTTTCACTAAGTGAATATTTCCCTGTTATTGCACAGTGCCCTACCTTGCTCTAGGCATTGAGAAACAGACGTGGAGAAAGGAGCCAAAAATCCTCATAACTTGGGCCACAAAAGAGGCAATCGTGGACTGCAGTGTGTTGCATAGAGACTCCTGTATGAGACAAGAACGTGGGGCCACTCTGAGGAGGTGACCACAGGACTGTGAGCTCAGTGAGAAGGCCGGCCCAGGTAAGTGTTAGGCAGAGTGATCAGCAGGTGCCAGGGTGTGGCAGACAGAAAGGCCTGGTGTGGGGGACCAAAAGGGATCGAAAGGTCTAGGTGGCCTTGGTTCAGGGAAGCAGGGATAATATAAGAGGAGAGGGAAAGCTGGGTGTGGTAGCACAAGCCTGTAATCCTAGCAACTTGGGAGGCTGAGGCAGGAGGATCACAAGTTGGAGGTCACCCTGGGCAATTTAGTAGGATTTTATCTCAAAAAATCACAAGGGCTGGAATGGGCGGGGGTTGTAACTTAGTGGCAGAGCACTTGCCTGGCACATGTGAGGCACTGGGTTTTATTCTCAGCACCACACAAAAATAAAATAAAATAAAGGCTTGCTGTCCATCTACATTTTTTTTTTTTTTAAAGGTCGGGGGCGGTAACTCACTGGTAAAGTGCCCAGGTTTGGTCCCCAGGGAAAGAAAGAAGAAAGGAAGAAACAAAAGCAGAAACCCAGCTCTGTCCTTCAAGAGCTTTACTTTAAAAAGCAAAAGTTCATTTTTCAGTGGCAGTTGGACACACACCTTTATTTTTACTTATTTATTTTTATGTGGTGCTGAGGATGGAACCCGGCGCCTTGCACGTGCTAGGTGGCGCTCTACCACTGAGCCACAACCCCAGCCCCAAGAGCTTTACTTTTCTATTCTTTTTTTTTTTTTTTTCCCTGTGCTGGTGGCCAAACCTCGGCCCTTGCTCACGCCAGGCGAGTCCACGGCCACTGGCACCCCAGCCCTGTTGGCTCTTTTTCAGTGTGGGGCTGAAATGTATCACGGATGTCGACGTGGAGCTCAGATCCCACTGTCAGGCTCCTGAACAGTGAAGGTGCGGCTCTGGCCATTCCTCGTGGAGAGGAGAGGCCCAGGTGTGGGTGCCTGTCCTGAGCGGTGCTGCTCCTATGGAAAGTGTGAGACCCCAGCATGTCTGGAAAGGCTGAGCCGTGAGTGCAGAGGGGCCCTGTGCCACGGCTGGCTGCAGTGGGTTCACAGGGTGGGTTTCCAGGGTGCCTCTCACAGCGCCCTCTGTCCTTGCAGGCTGGGGTTCTTTGTGTCTCTGGTCCTGGCAGGCAAGCCCAGCACAGAGTCACCACCAGTCCAAGGTGAGCCACAGTCGTGCAGAGAAAGAATTTATTCATCTGGGAAAACCCCCCTGGGCCTGACCCACAGTGTCGTGTTCAATGTGTCTGCTGCGCCCAGACACACAGAGCTGTCTTGGATGCCTTTGGGTCCCCGCAGCAGGAACCATGCCGAAGCTGCTGCCTACCTCCCTCTCTGCACAGACAGGCAGCACCTCCCAGGACCCAGCCCAGCTCTGACAGCAGCATGGCAGGCCCCACCTTCTGAACGTCTCCCCAGCCAAGGTGGCACCCCAGCCCCACGGGTCCCCCCAGCCTCCTCTACTGCCCAGGCTCCTTCATGGAGCGAGCGGTCCAAAGCCCACCCAGGAGGCCTGAGGACAAGGCTGCTCTCCCAGGCTCACAGCTACCCCTGGGTGTGTGTTCTCCCATCCCCAGCCGTGGGTCTCTGCAAACCTCCTGTGCTGTCTCCTTTGGCTGCTGGGACTCCATGGATTTCTGCAGGAAACCAGGCAGGGTGGCCCACGGAAGAGACCTGAGGAAGTGGACTTTGGTGACGAAAGGCCCACCTGGGTCAGGGCAAGGCCTCAGTGTGCTTTGGCCGGACTTAGCAGGGCTACATCTGCCAGGGCAACACGAGCAGCTGTGGTCCTACTCAGTGCTTCTCAGAGTCAGGGTTGCCTTGAATGGTTGGCATAGTTAGGCCCCAAGAAGGTCAGGGTCCACATGGCTGTCCCCTCTTTTGGAATGGAGCTGTAGGTTCCTGATGTGTGTGGTTGGGAGCCAGATACAGAGCTCAGGCTGAGCTGTCTCAGGGCCTCTCTGGAGCTTAGGATAGAACCCGCCCGCCCGGCAGGAAGTAGGAGCACTGACACCTGGATTCACATAGAGGGCTTTGCTCAGGAATTCAGCCATGAGGCCCAAGGTCAGTGTTGCTACCACCAACCATGGCACCAGCAAAACCCCTCCCTCGGGCTGGGTCGTGGCTCAGTGGCAGAACGCTTGCCTCGTACAGGTTCCATCCTCAGCACCACATAAAACCCAACAAACAAACAAACAAGCATAAAAACTCTCCGCCCTAGGCGAGTGCAGTGGCCCACACCTGTAATCCCAGCAGCTCGGGAGGCTGAGGCCGGAGGATCACGCATTCAAAGCCAGCCTCAGCAACTTAGGCCCTATCTATAAATAAAACAAAAAGAGGCTGGAGTGTGGCTTGGTGTTCAAGTCCAAGTTCAGTCCCCAGGGCCAAAATAGAAATAAAAAAATCTCTCTTCTCTGCCTATGTCCCAGCAATCCTGCTTCTGTGGTTAACGTAAGTGACTGCTGGCCCACACACTAAGCAATGTAGACCCAAAGCTGTTCACACGTGTCCTTTGCACCCAGAGAGCGTGTAAGACACAAAGCCTGTTGTAGGACCAGGAGCATCTCCCCACTGAAGCTGTCCTTGTGTCCAGGATAGTGAGGGGCGGAAACAGCCGGAACAGAAGATGCACATATTTGCTCTTGGAAGTGAAGCCAGGTGGGGAGGGGGCGTCTTCACCCTCACAGTTTTGAACCTTTCAGATTTTTAGCTCTACGACTGAGTGACATCGTGATAAATAAGTAAAAATGCAGAAACTTCTAAGAAAATGTTAGCTGGGTAGGGAACGGTACTTCTGCAGCGGTATGTTTTCTTTTTTTTTTTTTTTTAAATTTTTTTTAAGAGAGAGAGAGAAAAGAGAGAGAGAGAGAGAGAGAGAGAGAGAGAGAGAGAATTTTTTAATATTTATTTTTCAGTTTTCGGCAGACACAACATCTTTATTTTATTTTACGTGGTGCTGAGGATTGAACCCAGCGCCCCGCACATGCCAGGTGAGCACATTACCGCTTGAGCCACATCCCCAGCCCTGCAGCGGTATGTTTTCAAACTAGACAAAGCTGGCCTTGCACAAGACTGAACGTGCTGATGCCATCGTCACAGTGAAAAGGCTCACGCTATTTATTTATTTTTGTACTGGGGATTGAACCCAGGAACACTGTATTACTGAGCTGCAACCCCCGCCCTGGTCCTTTTATTTTGAGACAGGGTTTTTTAAGTTGCCCAAGCCGGCCTCAAACTTGGGATCCTCTTGCCTCAGCCTCCCAAGTCCTGGACTACAGGCACATGCCCTGTGCCTGGCTGATGTTATTTTCTTACTGTGTGGGGAGCCACTCTGAATGACCCACACCTTCCAGTCCTGGAGCAAGAAGCTCTGTCCAGTCACTACATTTGTGGTGACTTGGGCGTTGTCTCAGCTCGGGTAAAGGCACATCTTCAGGTGTGGGTGTCATCCTCAGGGTCGAGTTACACTCACCTGGTAACCCTGTCCTTTCTGACCTGTTTTGGATGAAACTTTCTAAGAACAAGAGTCCCCCAATAAACGCTCACTTCTGAAGTGCTCGCTCTCGCCAGCCTCTCGGACCTTCTCTTTGCTCCCTCTTGGGGGCCTGAGGCCGAGAGTGGAGAAGCCAGCCGCCCTGAAGCTTGTGTAAAGGTAAAGTGTGTCTGTGTTTTGTTTAGTGTCCCTGCAGATTCACAGAGCGACCTTAAGGTCAGCTGCCCTCTCGGGCCAGGGGTGGCATTACTGGACTTTATTCCCATTAAGAAAAACATGGAACACCTGTGAGCCGTCATTGCCAGGAAGTCGGGACTTGCTGAATGGACAGAGCCTCCTCAGGGCTGGAACGAGACTGAGGTGGAGTGAGGGCCACTGAGCACGCGAGAAGGGGCCAGTGTCGTGACCCCCAAGCCTTTCCCAGCCCCTTGAGGTGCGAGTTGAGTGGAGCCACCCTTCAAATAACCAGGTCGAAGCGTGAGCTTCTTTCATTTTTTTTTTTTCAATATTTAAAAAAATATGTTACAAAACAATATCATTCATCATATATTTCTTGCTTATGTTCCTTCTTAAAAATATTAAAGTCATAAAAAAGTCATTTTATAAAATAATACAAAAGGACATGATCAGCGGGGTGGCTGGACGCTGTCTGGGCTGCTGGGTGAGGGATCCAGTGCTTCGCTTCTGGCTCCCCTCCCCACCACCGGCTGGGGGCTGGGGGCTGGGGGCTGGGAGGAGGCCAGTGGGTGTGGGAAAGGTCTCCAGGCTGCCCTCTGGATGGGCTTCCTGAGGGCACCGGGAGAGGAGCTGGGCGCAGGGCATCCACACCCCAGTGGGTGTGGCTGAATCCTGGCTGGTCCTGGGAGAGGCGGAGGGCCTGCCAGTCACCAAGAGGTGGCCCTGGGCAGGGCTGGCCTGGCCCTGGGTGCTGGCTGCTTCTCCAGAAGGCTCCCCTAGCTTCCACTGCTCAGCATCCCCAGCAGCTTGCTGGGCTCCAGTCCCTGCTGCTGGGCCACGGTCTGCACATCGAAGCCCATATGCATGAGGAACTGGGCCACGTTCATCTCCTGCCCCGTGAACTGGTCCCGGATGGTGGGACATGAGGGGTTGCAGTGAGGCCAAGGGCAGCTGTCCACGAGGTGGACGGGGCAGCCTTTCAGGGCGGCTTTGCTGGCCTTGTGGCTGTCATGGAGGCTTCTGTCCCAGCAGTGCAGTGCCCGAGGCAGTGAGGTTCCCTTCACCTGGACATCTGTCCAATGACTGCAGACAGAAATCCGGGCAGGAGTCACGGAGGAGGGGCCCTGCCATCACTGTGGCGGGGCCTGTGTAATCCTGGCCTCACAGCCAGCCACTCAGTGAACGTCTCTGACAACCCCCAGAGGCCCTTTCGTCAGTAGAGGCAGGGGTGGGGGGCTTGAGGGGGGACAAGTGCAGGCCGGGTGGGAGCCTGAGGTGTTTGAAGTTAGTACTGCAGACCAAGGGGCCCCGGGGCCCAGGGACACTGACCTGCGGATGATGATCTCGTGAGAGAGGCAGGCAGGAGCAAAGCTGGCCCTGGGGGAGGAGACAGCGGCCTGAGCCCTGTGGCCCCCAGCCCCCCACCCTGTGCCGCCAGCCCCCGTGCTCCACCCTGCTTCCCTGCACCCCATCTTCTGGCTGGGGACCAGTCCTCCTGTCTGTGGCTAGGCAGCTGTTCCTCTGCCCAGGTCTGGTCCCCACCTGCCAGCATGCCCTGCTAACCCTGACCTCTGCCGACAAATCCTTCTCAGAGTCTACCTCCCCCTCTGGGGCCTGCCAGGCAGCAGCAGGCTGTCCCTGACGGATGACTCTCCTGTCACTTTAGATCTGCTTTTGAATCGGGTGGCTTACTGAGGATTGGGGGGGCTGCCGAGCGCGAGCGGGTCCCCAGCACACTCACGGCACATCCTGGAGTGTGCTGCGCAGCTCGCGGCCCAGGTTCTGGATGTACAGCCACTGCCCCTCCTGCACTGGCTGCCCCGTGAGGTGCACATTGTCCACGGTCAGCTGGGCCTCGTCAAACAGCCACTGCACCACAAACACTGGGCCTGGGAGGGCACCTGGCTCAGAGGGCTGGCCTGGTGCTGAGGTCCTGGCCAGTTCTCTGGCAGCCTCAGAGGCCAGCTGGCCGGCCAGGTTCTCCCTACCAGTGTGTCCCCCCTTTTTCCTTTTTTACAGTTCTGGGGACAGAACCCAGAGCCTCTACTACTGGATGACACCACACTCCTTTCCTTCTTTAAAGTCTGCCCTTGCTGCTGGGCATAGTGGTGCCCACCTGTGATCCCAGGGACTCAGGAGACTGATGATGAAGGATTGCAAGTTCAAGACCAGCCTCAGCAACTTAGAAAGGTGCTAAGGAGCTTAGCAAGACCCTGTCTCCAAAATAAACAAAAAGGGCTAGGAAAGTAACTCTTTGGTAAAGCATCCCTGGGGGGTTGATCCCTGATGGAAGGAAGGAAGGAAGGAAGGAAGGAAGAAATTGCTCTTGGCCTGAGTCTCAGGGACTCTAATTTGACCAAAATTTGGTGAATTAGTCTTTTGCATGGGACCCCACGAGTCCTCAGAGTGTGGGGCCTACCTGAGGCCATGCAACCCAGGGACAGCGCAGGGATTCAGTTCTAAAGCTTATCCCCAAGCAGTGGTGTAGACAGGGTTACCAGTCATCCTGGTTTGCCTGGGGCTGAGGATTTCCGTGCTAAAACCAGGAGAGCTGCAGACAGACAGGAGTGACTGATGGCCTGGCATGGATCTGACCTGTGTGGGCCAGGACAGGGGTCTCTCCACCCAGCAGCTCAGAGGCTGGACCAGGCTGGGTTTTACTTCCCACTGCTTCCCCCGTACCCCTTTCAGGCCAGCCACTCACAGCGCAGAGTTGGGTAAACTTTGTAGCCAAAGAAGCAGTTCCACTCCTCCCCCTCCTTGAACTGGCGCCGACAGCGCTCCGGAACCATCCCGTTCCAGTACCTGGAGCCACAGCTGTAGGTCAGTCTGCTGTGGGTCCTCTCTCCCCAGGAGCTCCTCCCTCAGAGATGCCACCCTGTCCCAGGCCCTTTGCACGGACAGGTTCCCCAGCATGGGCCCGCCCCTCCCTCCCAGGTCACCTGATCCCCCGACGGATGGCCTCTGTCGGGGCGCAGGTGATGGTGTCAATGCAGTCCGTGCGGCGGTACTGCTTGTTGTCCAGGAACCAGCCTGAGTCAGCCAGGCCCCGCACTTGGATGGCCGGGTACCCCAGGTCCTCCAGCTGCTCGGCCACCCGGTCCACGTTCAACAGCACCCCAGTTCCCCCGGCACTGCAGGGAAGGCCAGACGTGAAGCAGCTGGCTGGGGAGTGGCACCCGACACCCAGACCAGGGCCTGCTCAGCCCCGACCTGGGCCCTGAGGAAGGACAGGGCTCTTGCCGCCTCCCAAGGATGCATCTGGACCGTGGATGCGTTGCCTGCTCACATGTAAAACCCGTGGGCCTCTTGAGGGCCCAAGGCAGGGGGCTGATAGAGCCCTAGGCTGGCAGCACAGGCACTGAGCTCTTCCCTCGTCCTTCCCCCCTCACCCTCTCTGCCTCGATTTCCTGGTCTGGAAATCAAGATAAACTACGTTGCCTCCGGCCCTGTCACCCACTCCACATACACACGGTAAGCCCTAGCGAAGAGGCAGCTGTCTACAGCAGACCTGACCAACTGCCTAGGTCTGCAGCCTGAGCTCCTTGGAGGCCTAACCTCCAGGACATCCCTGGTGGTCCCTGTTCTGGTTGCAGCCTCTACCCCATCACTACCCACCCAGGCCTCACCAGGCTGGAGCCAGCAGGGACTGGCCCTCACCCCCCACCCCAGCTCTGCCTGGGCCTCCTCCTCTCGGTCCCACCCACACTCCCATCCCAGCGGGCCCCAGGGGCTACCGCCCCTCCCCACCCAGCCCTGTCCTGCCCACCTGCTCCCGGCCAGCAGCAGCACCTTGGCCCCGCTCAGCCCTTGGCCCAGGAGCTCGCGCACCACCTCCTGGATGATGAGGGCGCCCATGAAAGCAAACTCGTCTGCGTGCAGGAGGGGGGGGCTTCAGGCAGGGCCTGGGCAGAAAGAAAGGCCTCCACCCAGGCCAGCAGGAGGAAGGTCCTGGGGTGTCCCTGGGGCGGGGGTAGACTGGAGGGAGGGGGGTCAGCTGCAAGAGGACCTTCTGGGCCCACCCCCCGGGGAACACTCAAGAGTGAGGACCAGAAGCCCACCATCCTGCCTGGTCACAAGGAAGGGGCTTGGAAACCAGAGACTCACTCTTCTCAGACTTGGAAGACGCCCCACTCCAAACGTCACTGGAGCAGTAGGGGATGAAGCTGAAACAGGAACCTGTGAGTCTGCTCTGCTGCCAAGTCCCCAGGAAAGACCACCAGGACAGGACCCCCCAGCAGTACCCCCCAAAGACCACACCTACCAGGAAGAACCCTTCAGGACAGGACCCTCCAGGGAAGACCCCCCAGGACACCCCGTGCTCTTACACCATGTTGGCATTCCACCAGTGGGGATTCTCCTCCGGCTGAGAAGACAGGATCCCGGTTCCTGGAGACAGACAGGCAGTGGAGCTTTCCTTCTTGTGGGAGGGGCTGTGCAAAGATGGAGACTGCAGGAGGGTGTGGGGGACAGGGGCTCCTGCTTGGCCCTGGCAAGGGAGGCAGGTGGTACTTCTGGCCTGAGCCAAGGGTGCCAGGGAAGTGGGGGATGGACGGGCTTAGTTACTGCGGGTCACAGAGGTCACGATGCCCCGCCAGGCTGTGACACTAGATGCAACCCTTGGCCTTCCCACTCTACACCAGGTGCTTCAAGCTTGTTCGGGGGGCGGGGTGTGGGTGACCACCATCAGCACTGGAAAGTTACTGGTAAGACAGAGTGCTTGCTGGCCTCCCGGAGCTCAGAGTGCTGCTATGGGGATGTCCCAGGTGAAGAGATCCTTTTCTGCAGGACCTCATTTTGAGAGCTTACTGCCCTGAGGCTATTCCCCATCTCAAGGCTCCCTGCTAGCAGGCCCCCCACTGCTGACCTGTCCTCGTGTGCGGCCAGTCTTTGGAGCTCATAAGGCGACGCATGGTGTCATATCTGGTGTTGCAGTTCTCCCGGTTAAAGCAGTACCAGCCGCCTGCAGACACAGTCACCAAGGTCTAGCCCCTGTACCTAGGGGACTCCAGCCCTCCCCCTCCTGGTTCCCTAGAACGCACCTTCCAGAAAGAGTAGCCACCGCCGGCTGCCCTTGGACTCCTTTAGGTAGTAACTGCAGGGAAGAACGCGTGGAGCAGGTAGTCAGCTGGGGCTTCCACCTGTCGTTCTGTGCGCACGATAGCCGCATGGGGGCGCCAGCGGCCAGACCCACGCAGAGTGCACCAGCCCCGAGAGCCACGCGGCAGTCCCGGGAGATGGCGCTCGCGGGGACCGCACCGGCTGCGAGGGCTGTGTGGTCCGTGGAAAATCCCCATGGACCGCCCGGTGCGGGACCCGTTGTAACCTCGCCGCCTGCTGGGGGGGTCGCTCTGGGGCACACAGTGGCACTGGGAGAGTGGGGAGTGCTCACGCTAGAGGTCTGGGCGTGGGTGGAGGCACGGGACGCGCCAGGCTGGGGGGGGGCCGCCACCGCGGCGGTGTCGCAGTTTTGTCACCAAGTCCACGCACCAAGCGCAGAGGCACTCCCAATCCCTTCCTCATCCTCAGCATCACATCTTTAGTTTGCCGGCCTGGAGTGTGACCATGCCGCACCTGGGGCTTTTCTATCCCACCTGTGCCCCCCTCCTAGCCCCTCTAGCTAACGATGGAATTCCTGCCTGTCCAAAATCAAGTTGCTAGGGGCGCGGGCGGGGGAGATAGCCAGTGTTGCCTCTTCTTGCTGGTGCCAGGGCTACTCTCAGGTTGTTTCCAGTCTGCCTTACTCCCCTATCCCCGCCCAAGGACACGGCAAAGGGGCTGTGCACTGCGGCCCAGGGGTCAGTGCCCGCGCTGGGCCGGGGACCAGGCCTTCAAATGCTGCCAATCACCCCCTCCCCCGGGAGGGAGGCACCAAGCCAGGTCCTCCGCAGGGCCAGCACCGCTGGGCACCCGACGGGAGCCCTTTCCTCTGGGGGTGAGAGTTGAGAACTGCCACAGACTGTAGGGGTCCAGCACAGAGTCTCTGAGTCCTCGCAGGGGCAGGGAGGTGTAGCTGCGGGTGCCACGGGTGATGAAGCGGCCTGGAACTCGGCGGGGACGACGGGCTAGGACGAGCCTCCCGGGGTCCTGGCCGGCGCGGGCCTTACCCAGCTGGGCTGCCGTCGTTGCAGGTCACAGATGTGTTCAGAAGGAGATGCAGGCGTAGGTCCTCGTTGAGCTGTTGCGCCGAGCAGGGGTACAGGGACTGGGCCAGGCTCTTGACCTGAGCCATGAAACTGTCCATGTTGCCCTCCACGGCCGTGAAGTCCAGCGGGAAGCTCTCCACTGGTTGTCCCGCGGCGGGCGCCGCCTCGGCTCGCTGCGGGGGAGGTGGCGGGGGCGGCGGCAGAGGAGGCTGCTGGCCGCGGCGCCGCCAGGTCTTCCTGCCCTCGCCGCCCCCGGCCCAGTGCAGCAGGCCCAGTAGCAGCAGCACGCACACCCTTCGGCCCATGACCACGCCACTCCGGCCCGCGGCCACCTGCAGAGAAGCGGACGGTCCTGAGGCAGCAGTGGCTTGGGGGGAGGGGGACGCCGGGCCCAATGCGCCTGGGCCACGGGACGCCGGCCGCGTCTGCTAGCTGGTCCTCAGTCCCGCGCGCCGGGCCTGGCCGAGGCGGCGTGGGCTCTGGGCGTCGAGGCTCTGGGTTCCACCGTCGGCCTCTGCAGCTGGAGCTCCGCGCTCAGCCGGCCGCGC